AAAATTCAAGATGAGCTCTACTTCTGACTTGAGTCACCATGTGATCAGTCCTCAAGAGAAACAAAAAATGAGGCTATAGAAGTCATGGGTTTCACTGGGGATAGAGGGCCGTTCCATTCAAGCTGACTACACACTAGAATACCTGGGAGCCGGGACCGCACTCCAACTCTCCCAAGCCCTGGTCCTCTGCCTGAGAGGTACTGATTTAACTGGTTCAGGGCAGACCTAGGCCCCGGGGTCTCTCAAATGTTCTGCCCCAGCTAAAACACTGATGTAGACCCAGAGTGTTCAGGTGGGATCCCTGGACCAGCAGCAAGAGCACCACTTGGGAACCTGCTAGAAATGCTGCTTTGGGGGCTGACATCAGACCTACTGGATCAGGAGCTTTGGGGGTGGGGCCCAGCAATCTGTGCACCACACCTAGGGACTTCTGAAAACACAGATGGATGGGCTCCGTCCTCAGGGTCCCCAGGGAAACTTGCCTGGACCCCACGCTTGGAGAATCACTGGCCTTTGAACGTTGGTATACATGCACACATAGGAGCTTGTCCACCAGGCAGCTTCCTGGCCTCCCCAACCAGTGATTCTGATTCAGTGCATGGACAAAGGGGCCTGGAAATATACTGGGCAAACAGACTCTCCTGGGGGCCGAAGTACTCAGGCTGCACCTGGAGAAACATTGCAGCACGAACAAAAGCCATGTGACCGGAGTAAGGTTAGGCTGAGTCAGGAAGACAAGGTTAGGCCAACTGGGAAAGACCGGAACTATAAGGTGAATCCAGAAAAGCTTGGCACGCAGCTACTGTATCGGTTCCTGGGTTGTTGGAGTGAGATGGGTGCTCCCTATGGAGTGGATAAATAGAAGGCGATCATCCAAGAAGGTAGAGATTACTAATTATTTATTCATTGCATGGCCTTGTCTAATCAGGTCAAAAGCTAGAGCCAAACCCACTGCTGTCAGGTCAATTCTGACTCATCCTCGCCCTACAGGTCAGAGAACTTCCCCATGGGGTTTCTAAGGCTATAAACTTTAGGGAAACAGACTGCACATCTTTCTCCCATGTAGCGGTTGACGGTTTGAACCACTGCCTAGCACTTCACCACTGGGCCAGCGGGGCTCCTGCTAATCGGGGCGGCTCACCCAGCTCACCCCTGTTGTTTGCCCCAATCAAATTGGCGTTCATGAAAGAAATCACCAGGTTCCTCCCTTGGGTCTGCAGTCTTTCTGGAGGGACTGAGACGTGCCTGCAGTCCGTTAGGTATTATTCCATTAACATTTCCTTCTGCCGAAGAAAACCAGCTGAGACCTGTCTTGGACACTGAGGGCCCTTAGAAATGCTCTGTGTTCCAAGAGAGAGTGGTGTCATGGCAGCCAGGGGTGGGGGTGGCAGAGTTCGCATGTGTGGTACAGAGTCAGGAAAGAAAAGGGGACGATGCCTCTTACTTTGGACTCCAGTGAGGCTTGCCTGTGGAAGGAAGCCAGCCAACCACAGAAACACACACTGTCCTAATAGACAAGGGGTTAAGCCAGCCTGCCGGGTCCCTTACCAGCTACACAACTTCTATAGGTAACTTACTCTCTCTCAACCTCCGTTTTTGCATCTGTTAACTAGGGCTAATAAGATCTACACCCTACACCTGCTGGGTAGAAATCTGTTGGCTGGCATAGTCATTAGAACAGTGTCCAGCACATGATATGGAAACCTCCTAATAACGACTTTAGAAAGATAGACGATTTGATGTTGCTAAGAACAAATGGGCGTTCTTAGGGACATCCCTAGGTGGTCCAAACAGTCCATGCACTGGGCGGCTAGCTGGAAGACTGGAGGCTCAAGGGCCCGAAGAGGCACTCAGAAGAAAAGTCTGGAGAGCCACTCCTGGGAACTGGGCGGAGTGCAGGTGGACCGCCACACAGGAAGCACGGGC